TCCCGCAGGTGAACAGTGGTGATCAGGAGGAGCACACGCGTGCGTGTGTGTGTGTGTGTGTGTGTGTGTGTGTGTGAGACTGTGTGTGTGTGTGTGTGTGTGTGTGTGTGTGTGTGTGAGACTGTGTGTGTGTGTGTGTGTGTGTGTGTGTGTGTGTGTGTGTGAAACCTGCTGAGTTGCAGACACTCACCCAGACAGAACAAGTACATTAAAACATCTGATTTATTGTTAAAACATTTACTTTCTTAGTTCTTTTCCATTTAATCCTGCATGATTCCAGATCAGGGAGTGACTCCCGCGCTGATCGGGATTAGGATTACTTATTCGTGACCAGCAGCCCTCCAGCTACGCGTCAAAGGCAGGGCCTGATGTTGGACGCGCTTCCTGTGTAACAAAGGCTGTTGGTATGATCGCCCACCACCTAAAGGTCAGAGGTCAAAGAGGGGCAATGATGGTTCAGAGTGTTGGTGAAACATCTCCTTAATCAGCTGATGGATCTCATTAGGACAGAATTCCCTGGATTTACATCTACAGCTGATCAACTGCTCGTTAACCCAATTCAAGATGGCCGCCACAGCTGATCAACGTTAGCGAACGCTGAAACGTCTCTAAACCAGTCCAACCCTAACCCACTCGCTCCAACTAGACCCGAGTTCCCAACGAGTCATCAGACCCGAGTCTGGATCAGGGAAAACGAGAAAAAGACCAAAAGCTGATTTAATCTGTTAGTGACGAAGAGGCTAAACGGGTCAGAACGTTCATGTGTCTACCTGAACCAGGCCCGGTCTCACGGTAACCTGAAACCCAACAGAAACACGTCGTTCGTGTCTTCTGCAGAAATCCGAACCCAAACCGCTGCAGCAGCAAACGGAGAGCTGGTTAGCTAACGGCTAACGTGGTGTAGCTAAAACATGCTGAGGTTCTTTAAACCTCCACAAAAAACACGCTTCCGACCCAAACCAGCCATCCGGTCCTCGGCCTCTCCGGTCCGCCGCACCTCCCTGCTCCTCCACTCATCACAACGTGCTCAGCAGCAGAACTCCACCGGTGTGGAGGTTCTCCGCTCAACACCAGGGAAGGAGAAACAGCCGGCTGCTACTGCTTCAGCTTCAGGGCTGAGTCCCAAACAGAAAAACTCCGTCCGAAGTCACGGACAACAGAAGACGTTTGGACCGAGAAAACAGCGACGGGTGTTCAGCGCGCTTTCGTTTCCGCCGGCATCAGGAGCGTGTCTCAGTATTCCCGAAGGGAGGGGGTAGTGTTAAAGCCTGGCTTGTTCAGTAGATTAGCTATAGCAGCTTTAAAGATGTGCTTTCCTGCTGGACTTGTTGGACTTGTTGGTTTGAGAAGGAAGTGACACCAGCTCAGATGTTTCTGACCTGGGGTCAGGGGTCAGGGGTCAGGAACAGCTGTTTCACGAGCATTTGTGCTCTTCTCATTCCTTTACAATCCAACCTCCTGGATGGGAACCAGGCATCCAGAGCAGAGTTAGGGAGGACAGCAGAGTGAGCGGCGGTGGAAGACGGGAACACCGAGACCGGAGGGGGGGGAGGCAGACCTCTCCTTTCATTCTGCAGCTCAGACCAGGAGCTCCTTCCCTTTCTCAAAATCCCTTTCTGCCATTTTCGCCTCGTCCTCTCTCCCCCCTCTCCCCCCTCTCTCCCCCCTCTCTCTGCTGCGTTAATCACTTTGCATGCACTCATTTAAATATTAAAATTTTCTTTAATCATCAAAGCCAGTGAGCATCATGCATATTCATATAGTCCCCCCTCGTCCCCCACCTCCCCCAAATGCCTCCATCCCTGCATCTCAGGTTCATTACTCTGCCGCACAGCCATTAGCCACTTCCTAATCACACAGTTTACACACACACGCACGCACGCACACACACACACACACACATGCACGCACGCACAGCTAGCCAGCAGCACTAGCCAATGCTAATCCGCTAACCAGGCTAAGGCACACAGGCTTCCCTCCAGTCTGAGGCGAGTTGAGCGGGACTTGTCATCCATCTCCACGGCTGGAGCTGCGAGTATTTGTCAAGAGGCTCGACGAACCCCTCATTTGCATAATGACTTTGTAGTTCTGCATTAATAAAATTTGCATATGAAGCCGTGTTAATTACTCCTGATCAGCCTTTTTTGCATTCATGCATGGTAATTTTGGGCGACTTGTAAAATTGATGTCCTGGCGTCAGTGATGAGATTGGTGGAGGAGGTGGTGTGTGTGTGTGTGTGTGTGGTTGTGCAGGATGAAGATGGGTGGGGATGATGAAGGTGAGGCCTGGAGGAAGAGGGGGAGGGGGAGGGGTTGTTTTGGGCTTTATCAAAGATGGCAGATTCTTGCTTTTCAGGCAGCGACTCGGTTTCTCTTCAACTTTCATGAAATCTGCTTTATTTGTCTGGAGTGAAAAAAAGAGCTTCGCACGCACGCACGCACGCACGCACGCACGCACGCACGCACGCACGCACACACACACGCACGCACGCACGCACGC